TAGAAAACCTGTTAGAGGCTGCAAAGGACTGTGACGGAGGTTTGGCTTCCACCAGGATAACAACCCTGAACATGCAGCCAGCGCTGCAATGAAAAGGGAAGTTTATTCATGAGTTGGAGCGGCCCAGTCCAAGTGTAGATCTAATTCCAACCGAGAATCCGTGGAAAGACTTGAAAGCTGATCTTCAAGTCCGTCCTATCTGACTTGGCTACTTTGCAAAGATAACTTTTCAGTTTATAAATGTTAAAGGCTGCTATGAAAGGCATAAAAACCAAATCCTTCAGTGTCTTCCACTTGAGAGTGACATTGTACTTTGTGCTGCTCTAACACAGAAATACCTATTCAAATTCACTGAATGTGTAAGGATCAAGAGGTATGAATCCTTAATGGCTGCAGTGGAGAAACGTATGAATCAGATTCTAATTTCTCGGTGCTTCTTCATCTGGTATCAAATTCCAGCCAAGCTGACGCTTTTTTAAGAATTCCCATCGGACAGCAATCCTACAGAACATAAGCGGCGTGACGGCTAAAAACTGAGGGCGGTCGAGTGCTCGGCTTCACACCTCCTAACCCGTGATTGAACCCTTACTTTTATATTTATTCTGCAGCCTTTATCACTTCCTACACGGCGAAGTCTATAAAAACCGAAGGAGAAGAAGCAGATGTGCGGGAGCGCAGCGAGGCAACAGAAGCAGGGGGGAAGATGAAAGGATCTGGGAATGAGAACGATAGAAGAAAAGGCTGAGGTAGGAGGACGTGAGGAGGAGCGGAGTGGAGGATGAGCAGATTGCTGCGGGAGAGAACAGTGTTTGTACTCTCTCTGACACACTGACCTAGTGATGCGGTGAAGCTTCCAGCTCCAGATTACAAAGCTGCAGCCCTATGGGATGTGGAAGGGGAGGACGGCGAGGGGGATTAATTATGCCTCCAGAGGGAAGAGAGCAGGAAGATTAACTGATTGGGGGAAGCATTGAGGGATTACGGCTCTATGGATGGAGGGAGGCCGAAATAATCTCGGCGAACCAACTGGCACAAGCCAGGACATGCATGTTTGCGTGTGCTTCGGGCTCACTGAGGGAGTAAACAACACGTAGAGTTGGTGGAAAATGTAAGGTTAAATCACTGCGGTGCACTGATGCACGAGGATGTTTTACAGTGCGACCGGCGAGAAGTCCGAGTGGAATCTGAGGAGAGCTGACGGTGCAGGGTTTGACCACAAGGGCCCCTGCTGGAACCATGTGCAGCCAATCAGTTACAGTCCGTCCCTCCATCGCTACAAAGACTCTTTGATGTGAGCGAGGGCTTTAAATTCAACCCCAGGGAGTCACAAGACGAGACCTGGCTTTGATCTGACTTAACAGCAAACCTTACGTTTCTCCTAACAACAAAAACTGCAAAACAACAAAATATCTGCTCGCCTGATGTTAAGATTGTCGCCGGCGAGCAAGATGGAGTGCGTTAAATACGAGTGCCTCATATGGAGCCGCTTCTCTGCGGCTCCCCACTGTGGTTGCCACACGATGTTGGCCATAAAGTAAAGTTGGGTGTGTTTCCTGTTTCCATATTTTACTAACCATTTACTCAAGGAAATACTGATATAGGTCATACGGCTCACTGCCCAGAGCGCCATTGAATCAGTGGGATACACACATGATTAGCAGGGTTTCATGGTGTGCCCCAAGCAAGTTTTTTTTGTCTGTTTGCTTGTTGTCGTTGGTTCTATACAACATCAGCATAAGACAATATGGTCGCACACTGCGGCTAGGAAAGGAAGTTGGCATTTCATTCAAGAAACACATTTTATGTTTTGTTTTTGTTTTTTCCAAGAAATCTGGACCTATAGTATTGACTCTAGTTTAAAATCTGAAACATTTTGAATAGCCAAACCTGAACTGGATATTTCCACCCCAAACCCAATTAAACTCAGATTAATTTGTCCCCCTCCCTCCTTTATTCCTCTCACCCCAAGAGAAATCAAGATTTTCAATCCTTTTCTTGGCAATGGCTTCAAAACACCCACAAATTGAGAGAAACATTCCCTGAAATCTCATCTCATCTCTTCTAACCACTTCTCATTCTTATCACAATGTATACAGAGCACAGATGGTGGGGGGGTGGGGGGGTCTTGCCCAGGGCAGCATTCATGCACGGACCGCCACTGGCCAACATTGTACTTTAAAGCATTCAAACTCTCTGTGTAATCTCAGAAATTCAGCTTTGCCTTTTTGCTCCTCTATCACAAACAGTCCATCTATTTATGTTTCATTTCTACCAGCCAATCCTCCCCAACCCCCCCGGTCAACTTCCTCATCCTGTTATACCGTCGCTGGCAGCCTTCCAAACGTCCTGCAGCTTCCCCCTCCCTCCGAGTCTCGTCTTCTCCCATGCTCTTTCCCACTTTTTCGCCGGGCAACAAAATGTCTGCCGCGCTCAAATCCATGCCGAGGCCCTCCCCTCCACGCGCTCCCTCCGCGGGAGCCGCGCAGCGGTTACATAAGAGCCGAGGTCAAAGTGTCACTGCCTTTGTCAAGGCAGACGCAGGGCGACGAGGAAACGAGTGAGGGTGCAGGGGCGAAAGAGGAGGAAAACGACTCAGACAGATGTCTGAGAGCGGAGTTGTGCGGAAGATTTTAGCTGATGCACATAAACGAAACGGCTGTGGTATTTGGATATATTCAAATGTGTCAAACTGAGATGGGGAAGTATACAAATAAAAACAGATAATGTGTGCAATAGAGGGAAGTGGCAAAAGGACAAAGTTCTGCAGATACACAAGCCCATGCTGGAGAGCGTGTTTGTGCTTGTCTGTGTAATTCTGTGACGATCCCGTTGGCTTTCTGCGCTCTGCTGCTCCACTAACCTAGTTCGAGTAATCTTTGCCTTCATACTGTTTCATAACAGCGCTGCCAGATCATTGCATCATAAATCCGCTTGCCGCTGCAACATCATCCTTCCAGTTCCCAGAAAACAAAATCGTCCCAAGAACAGAGATACACAGATTCAAAATTGCTTTCATTTGTTATGCCGCAAATCTAAACTGATGAGCTGGAAACTTTGCCTGCCACAAGTTAGTCACCAAATGGAAAAAAAATAAAATACCCAGACACAAAAAAATAAAACGAAGGCAAGAAAATCTGCAGAACAGATTCTAGAAGGGGGGGAGAAAGTATGGGTCATTTGGCAAGTGTGCACTACTTGTGGGTTTAATTGAGATGTTAGGAGTCGTGACATGCTCCTAGATCAGTTTGGAATAACAGATGCAAAACATCAGCCCAACGTCTGCGAGTCCAAATCCATCGGGCAAAGAAAACCCTTGCCCTCAAGATAATTCATCAGAAGATAGAGAGTGAGCAAACGCTGGGAAGATGGCCAGAGATTATATTTCATTCAGTATTTCCAATTCAAATCGACTCTACGTGCAAGTGATCTGAGCACATAAACACAAAACGGGTCCACAAAATCAGTTGACATTTGTTGTCGTAAAATCAAAAGAATGATCCTATCTTTATATTCAACTACTTTTGCTACGACACGCCGCAGAAAACCTGTCAACAAAAACAACTTCTAGTCATGCAATCCACAAATCTGGCCTATAATAGAAGAGTGGTGAGAACAAAACCGTTATTGAAAGAAAGTTTTAAGTTTCGTTTAAAGATTGCCTGTAATCTGGGTTTGTACAGCCTTGGTTATGGACCATTTCTTGAATCAAGCACATCTGAAAATGTGCTTGATTATAGCACGCTCATGTATTTGAATGGCTCAGTTAAAGTCCAGACTTGCATCCAATTGAGAATCTCAGTTCCAAACTTCCAAATTGATGGTTAGAGACACTCTCCATCCAATGAAGTTAAATAAACTAAAAAAAAAGCTTGAGCTATGTTTCTACGAAGAAGCATAGCTTCTTAGAAACATAGGTCTGAGAGCTATGTTTCTAAGAAGCTATGTGCCATTCTCCAGATGTGCAGAGCTGGTAAAGGACCTTGAAACAGTTGCAGAGTTCATGCAGCAGAAAGTAATTTTACAAAGTAAAGGCATGCATCCCACACTTTTCTGATTTTAATTCAGTGTTTCTCAACCCTAGTCCTCACCGACCCCTTCCCTGCTCTGCATGTTTTAGATGTGCCTCTATTCCAGAACAGCTGATTCAAATGATTGCATGACCATCATGTACTGCAGAAGCCTGCTAATTTCCCAGAGATACAATTCAGGTGTGTGGCAGAAGGGAAATACCCAAAACATGCAGGGCAAGGGGGCGTGAGGACCAGGGTTGAGAAGCACTGTTTTAATTGGTCAAAAAAGGAAACAAACTCCCACTTCCCATCAGCTTTATAGTCACGTTCTACTTCGTTTTTGTCTAATCTGGAGAAACCACACCGACATTTTCGTCTCCAAGATGACAACAACAACAACAAAAAAAAGTGAAAAGCGTGACTCCTTCTGCAAAGCACTGTGTCTGCACACTAAGTCAGGCAGACCAATCACCAGGGCAACAAAGGTGTGGTGGGTTCAACACCGCTTATCTTTTTATAGATAACAACTTCTTGGTTCAGGGTTTCATAATAAAACACTTGCTTCATTTCATCAAAACTGACAGGCTGCCTAAAATGAAAAGAGGCAGGAGGAAGGAAAGGGTGTTTAAAGACGACACTGTGGCTTTCAGTTCTGCAAGATCATAGTCAATGTGACGTGAAACAGCTATTTTGTCGAACAAAAGACCCGTTTGGTAGGTTTTTGCTGTTGGGTTTTTACCTTGGCACCACGCCATAAGAAAGGTATGATATTACCTAACTCAATGGGCCCTGCTCCGTTGCACAAATAAAGCTGCTTTGGGCAACATAATGCCAGGGAAGTATTAAAGCAGAACTGACCGCGGCTGTAATTACCTTCCTAATTCTTGCTCAAAGGAGTTGAAGCTGATCCTTCTCACATTACTCTCCTAGACAAAAAAAAAAAAAAAAAAAAGCCTGTACTTTTTTTTTAATCTTTTGCCAGGCCACCTTAAACGCGCTCTCGATTGCGCGCTCCCGCGCCCGTTGCGGGAGGAGCTGACGGCGGTGAGATCATGTGAGAGTCCACGCTTGGAGAAAGTAGGTTAGCAGGGTAGACGGAAAGGAAAGCAGGCGGAGAGTCAGAGCGCAGAAAGGGGGGGTCCAAACAACGCTCCTTCATCGTGCGGATCAAATCTGTCAAATCAAACCACAAAACAACAAAGTTGAGGAGAAGCTGCTGCTCGGTGCGCGACGGACGTCTACCATGAGATCCGAAGCGATTTCCTGCACTCTTTTCTTTTACTCGAACTTGATCGAGCGATAAATAAGAGGAGTTTATTTATTTCTCTCTTTTTTTTGCCACTTTCTGTTTTCCTTTTTTTTTTAAAGGAAAGAAAAAAAAGGTTTTTGGGGTCGTGCTTATTAAAGCTGATCGCAGTTGGGAATAAGTTCATATTTATACAGCCAGTTTAGTCTGGCTCCGGCGTTTTATTCGCCTCTCGTCTGTTTTCCAACACTAAATTCATGTAGCCGAGTCTTCACCGCCCTGCCCAGAAATAAAGAACGCATCGAAAATGAGAGGTAAGTTTTTTTTAAATCATTTATTAATTCATTGAAATGAATAAATGATTGCTTGTGCAGCCATGCTGGATCATAATGTTGCCTGTTTCGGGTTGGATTTGTTACCACATGTGTGCGCACAGGGACTCTGTAGAGAGCGCCTGCTTTTCCTCCCAGTGCGCACTAATCCCTCCTGACTGGATTATGGCCGCACAGAACCCGAGGCGGCGCTCTGCGAAAACACCAAAATTCCCATCAAGTACGATGATCAGTGAGGCTTAAATTAAGAGAATAAACGAGAGGCACATAAAACTGCGTGTTTTCTTCATATGAAATTCAGAACGCGAGGCTTAGGCTGTGGTTCCTGCACGCGCAATGGTGCATTTTGCAATTCACGGCGGTGCGACGTCATAAACGTCAGAAAAAGAAGAAGAAAAAAACCTCACCTGTGACTTTTGTGGATTTTTTTCGGGGGATCCATGTTGGAAGTTATGCAACAAGAGAGAGGGGGAGGGGGGGAGTTGTTGTTAACCAAACTATTATGTAATCGATCTTATCAGGTTTCTGACAATGTTAATCAAATAGATAATTAAAAAAAAGCTTTTATTTTGCATCTACTTATTTTGCATCTACTTGTTTTGCGTCGTAAGTGCTTTCACTCTGAGGCTGTGTGTTTATTGTGCACCTATGAACTTGAATTGTTACGTTTTCCTTTGAAATCCGCGATTGCCAAATTTAACAAAGTGATCCTTCGCACAGCCGAGGTTGCGCAGGATCAATCCTTGGTGTTGTTGTGGTGTGATGGCTGTGCCAGCATGGCCGACAGTGTGAGTTACGGAGGGAGAGAGAAACCCGGCTGTTCCACTGACCTAGTTATGTCACGGAGCATTATACAGCATCTACAGCGGAGGGAGGGGAGGAGGACTCTGGGAAGCTTCGTGACGGCAAAAGCGCGCAGCGCCATGTGCGGCTGCAGGCGCAAACGTTACGCCCAGTGAGATCCCAAAAGGAGCTTGAGTGAATTTTATTTCAAGAAATTGCTGTCAAGTATTATTGCCCTGGCTTAAGGAGCGCGGTCTCCTTTTCAGCTTCTGAAGTTATCAGAGGCGGTTGTAGACCATATGAGGCCCCGGGGACGTCGGCAGACAAAATCACACAAAAACACAATAACTTGACGGCACAATACAATGGAAAGGAATTTAAGAGAGAAACGAAATATGCAACAGAAACTTAGTCACCGTTTCTCCTAATGAATACCTGATCCAAATCTGTGCTTCATAATCAGTTACCCACTGGGTTCTGGAAGTGAACAAATGTGGGATCGTCAAAGAAAATGGCAAATATGATGAGAATTTACAATAAAAAAGATCAAATTTAGAGAAAAATATTAGCTTTTTCTGTCTCCAATTGGTTTGCTAGTTACTCGTATACTGAATTGATATTTGGGGTCACTGTTATTTTGTCAGTTGTCACCAGAAATGAAACTTCTTCACGACAGCACGATGCGTTTATAAAACCACATTCCAGTTCAGAGTGAATACTTGGAGTAGGATGCTCAGTGTGCAGAATGTGTACAGTCTGGACATTGGCTGCTGGCGAGTTCGGTGGGCTCTTTCTATTTTAAAAGATGCAAATACCACTGGAGTCTGAGCGGGGGCCCGCAGAGGGGGGACGGGAGCAGAGCTGAGCACTTCACTGGCCTCTAACACAAGTTGTCTGTCCGTGTGTGACACACGTCTTGTGATCTTTCACCATTGCTATAAAACGTTGTGCGGAAGTGCACAGACAGCTGACGACCTGCTTACAGTAGAGCAGGACACAATCCAGAGTTCGTAGCGAGCGCCTGCGGTGGGTCAGCATACCAAAACTGCAGGAGAACTTGTTCTGATTGCATCTTATGTGCTCAGGCCACCATACAAAATGCTGACGTGTATTGTGAGAGAGCAAACAAGAGGTTGTGTGAAGAAAAGAAAAAAACCTACATTTTTTTGGCCGAGCTAGCTAAGAAAGGACAGCAGTTTGTTTACATTTGGATATCCGGCCAGAGAGGGAACCTCCCTCCGCCAGAGGCCCCAGTGTTTCTCCGTCTGTCCCCAGCCCCTTTTTTTCTTGAGCAAAAAAAATCAATTTCCTCCTAGACAGAGATAAGACGACTCTCTTTGTAAGTCAACTCTAGTCTCACAGACAAGTAAAAAAGGAGAAAGACACCCAGCAACTTAAAAACATTAGTTGGCTATATTGAGGGGTTGCTCGAAAGGGGAGCGAAGCTGAATGTTGCAGACTGAGTTTTGTGAGACATGTCAGAGGCAGCCTAGTCAAACCAAACTCCAAACTGAGCAACAGTTCACGGCCACCAAACTAAGTAGGAGGCAACAAGTGTACTAGGAGTTGTCGCAAAAGTCAAGCTGAGAAATCTAATTACTTAAATGATACATTAGTGGTAACAAAGTAAAGCTGTGGTATGTGGTATTTAAAATGCAAAAAAAGTATCCATATAGTACAACTGCATAAAGTGGAGAGGTAAAAACACACAGCGTTAAACTATGTGCAGATCAGTAAAAGTTTAATCTTTTTAATGTTGAAAAACATTGAAGCTGAGGTTATGGTGCCATAAGTGGCCTTACTAAAGTAAGGCCCTGCACTGAAGGACTTGGCTTCAATAGAGAATATTGATATATATTGATATTCTTTGGCTGATGTCACTTTCTAGAGGCAAAATATATCAGATGAACAATGCTTGGGAATTTGAATAATAGTATTTAAGTGTTGGGTTTGATGGTATTTATAGGCGATTACCTTTTTGTTTCCAGTTTTATTCAAATATCAATTGCATGTCCAAATCTGAAACCCTTAAGTTTGCCCAAATGTCTTTTTTGACTTTATTCTTTTTTTCTTTTTTTTTTTTTTTGGCTTAGAGCATCCTATGCTAAGTATAGAGTCGGATGCTATGAGTTTAATATAAACTGTTTTTTATGTTAAAGCAGAAACACCCTTTCATAATACTCATGATAGTTCAGTGTTAGTGATGCGAGTCTGAATCCCCCTCGCCCCACCCAAAAAAGAAAGTTGTGAAAATAGATTCCTTTACATCTGATTTTAGGGAAATAAAATCTAGAAATTATTCCACACACTTTAGCCACAAAAAGGCTGGGTTTTTTTTAAAGGTGCAGAGCTCCAAATCATGATGCTTCCACCTCTCGCTGAATTTGTTCTCATTTTGTTTCACCAGAAAGTGTGAAATCTACCTCATCTTAGAGCAACCAGCATTTGTCACCATGTTGTTTCTCATGCCATAAGAGATTTGCATTGTGAAAGAAATAATATGTTTCAACAGTTTCCCAGGATTATAAAGATTACATTGCACTTTTATGTGTATGCGGGTTGTCAGGTGTGATGTTGCTAGGAGTGTTTGACTTTATCAGAGATCATCTCTGACACACTGACACACTGACTGCGTGACGCACTGGTCATGGGGCATGTCGGACATTTTATCACCTGGCTCGTTCCTCGTTGGACATCGAGAATCACTGACTGAGGCTCAGTCAGTGATTTTCCTTCTCCCTTAAGCCCGCCGCACCCTCTGCTGAATTACTTCTTTGTGGAGACAACCACTTTGTACATACAGCTGGCTGATAAATAGTCAGAGGCCAGCGTGTTTGTCTCGGACGTTAAAACTGTCTCTTTCCCTTGTTTGCCTTGCGTAAAGGTTTCCAGCCCCGAAGTTCAAAAACACCTGCTTTGTTCTGGAAAATCTGTTCCTGTTTTGCACTTTCTTTCTGCTCAGTTATCATTTGTTGCAGATGTCTACTCAGATTTTGTGACAAACTTAAACCCCTCCAGACCTTACGCATCATGCTTGAAACAAAAAAAGCGGCACTGGTGTTGATCTTCCTGGAATGCTCGGTGTCTCGAGAGAGCGAAAGGTTAAAAACACTGAGCGCAGCTCAGCAGTGATATTCAGGGTTAAAGGTAATCACTCTCCGCCATTATCGACGGCGAGCTAAATTGGTCTGACGTGCTTCACCTTCACAAGTCATAATCCTTTCAGACCTTTCAGCTAATTGATAAAGAAGCACATATTCTGATCAGGAATCAGCCTCTGATGTCACTTTTGAAGCAAAAACGCAGATATTGATATTCAAATACCTCTCCTTTGGATTTTCAAACACAAATCTCTCAAATCTCAAAGTTTGGAGTTAGCTACTTGCTACAGACCTTCCTCAGTTTGTTTCCTGTTTTCAATTCTATGATTGTGTGCATGCAGCTTAGTTTGTTGATCCTCATTCATTTACCAGGTTACGGTCAAGTGAGTCACATTATACACGTATAAAAACTAATTGAGATCTTTGATCGGAAAGGGTTGACTCAAGGTTTTACAGCCAAAATGGCTTCGTCTGAGCGAAACATGCCTCAGCCTGGCAGCCTGGGCTGGACTTCAGCAAAGGATTACTGAGGGAGTGTCAGTGGAGTTCTTACAAACACCACAGTTTTCAAGGTTTCTAAGAAAAATTATTGGGTCATAACATTGAGATGTGTTTATGTATTTGGATTTCCATGCGAGATATCCCACACAACTATTTTGAGAAGACAATGTAACCAAACGCAAACCAAACGGCACCTGCCAATTTGATGGTGCGCTCTTTTTGTTCTGAAGTTGGGAACATCACAAGTTGCCTCCGAGTAGAACCACATGATTAAACACTCGAATGGCAAACAAAACAAAAAAAAAACCATTGTCAAAGTACCGTGCATTAAATATGTAGACGCACTTAAGGCATCTCTTTCAACTACTGGTGCACTTACAATATTTATGTTTCTGGATGTTTTCTTTTTATAGTATTTTACCACATAAAACTTTACCAGCCAATACGAGTTGGCATAACAGCCAATAGTGAATCCCACTGATTTTTCCAGTCTTCAGCTAGAACTGAACTCGTTCTCAGATACGAGCGCTAACTTCCTGACCAAATCAAATACTGTGTGTGCACACGCTCCATGGTTTCTTTTCTGTCTTCCTTGGA